AAAAATTTCAGTGGTTTTCCATTTTGCGTCGGACTAAACCGTTATTGTGGTTAGTTTTTAGAGGACCGTGTGGTACAGGTCCGTAAAATGTTCTCTGTTTAAAGTAGATTTGTTTTAAAACCAATTTTAAAGTAGATTTGTTTTAAGACCAATTTTAAATTTTTGACTAAAACATAGAATATATGTACGTCTCTACATCAATTAATATCAGTTTGGAATAACTGCTTAAAAAACGAGAACCTTAAGAGTGGAAAACTTAAATCACATTCATTCACATTGAATATTTGGAGTTTATTTTGGCTGCTGTTTGATTACAAATATGTAAGAAAAAAAATTGTAAAAGTAATTGGAAATTTAAATTTGTTCGTGCAAATGTCTGCTTCATGATATGAAGGCTTGCGATTTGTCGCATTGGTCACATTTTTGGCGAGTAGACATGCTTACAATTTATAAATATTGTCTAACTTTTAGTTTTATATAATTTTGAGAACATCCCGATGGCTGAGTGGAAGCTCGACCCATCTCGGCAACCAGTTCGAAAATGCCCTTATATCAAAAAAATTTTCAACAACGCCCTACTTCAAAACTTGGTTGAAAAACGCTCTATCTCAGAGTTTGATTGAGAAACGTCCTATCTAAGCAGCCGAATCAAACGCCGTTCTGAAGTATAGCGTTTTTGAAAAGTTTTCTGATATAGGGCCTTTTCGAGCTGGTTTCTGAGATGGATCAATCCTCTACTCAGCCATCGATATAGTGGGGAGTAGAAATGAGTAAAGGGTGATTTTTGTTAAATATTTGAAAGGTTTTTAAAGTTAAAATTTTTTTGTTTTTTTTTTTCATGGAAATATGGTTCACGAAACCTTTAGGGTCTATCCGCACACATCAGTCACGGCACGTCACAGTTCCGTCACTTCCGAGGAGTATCAGTAAAAAAAAATATGGTTACCTGAAAATTAAAAGGCACAATTCACACTGAGTCGGCGCCGTCATGAATCAGTTCCGTCAGTCTCGCGACCGTCACCGAACCGTCAAGTTTAGATTTCTGCTCAACGATATTTTTATTTTGACTGACGTGTTTTCTATCTGCCGGAAAAATGTGTGATGATGAAAAGTTGATAGAATTTGTTAGAACATATCCGATACTTTATGATTCATCTAATAAAAAGTACATGAATTTGTGCAAAAATTACAATAGAAAAATTCTTCAAAATTGCATCTACATTGCAAAGATTTTAATTCGAATTTTTGGAAACAATTTGGGTATGCAGTTTTGGTATTTTTTAACCGACTTCACAAAAAGGAAGGTTATCAATTCGTCGGAATATTTTTTTTATCACTTAATCTTAAATTTTAATATGAAAATTGAAGTCGGTTTGTATTTTGCTTAAAAATTACTTGTTTTTTTTTTCAAAAAATGCCACTCACTGATTTATTAACCGACTTCACAAAAAGGAGAAGATTATCAGTTCGTCCGAATATTTTTTTATGTATGTTACCGCATAACTTTGAATTTCTAGAATTCTTTTTTAAAGGAAAGGTGTTACCTCACAGATGGTTTCATACTAATTTGGTTTTAATCCGCTCATTGGTTCATTGGAAATTAACGATAATCTTAAATTTTTATATAAGAATTGAAGTCGGTTTTGTTTTTTGCTTAAAAATTACTTGTTTTACAATATTTACAATACATATTATGATAAATATTAAACTAAAAACGTATATAAAACGTATATATTACAGTTTCAAGCTTTGTACAGAATTTACAAAAAAAAATCCAAATTTTAAAAACTTTTCATCGAAACTTCAATCAGACCTTTTGGGACAATTCTTGCTACGCAGTTTTGTAGCCTATCCAATTTTATACGACATGCCCGAAATTTTTTTGTATTGAAAAATTACGAAAGAACACCAGTAAAAAATTTGTGAAAAACTGATTAAAAAATTGGAAATTTTGATGAAGAGCTTTTAAAATTTGATATTTGTTTTGGGAAATCCGTATATAGTTGGAAACTTTAAAAATTAAGAATGAACTATAGCTTTATTAAATATTACCGAAAAATATTTGTTATGAAAAACATTGTGAATCTTACAAAATAGATCAGTGCGTAGAATTTTTTGACGCTGACTGTGACACAGAACCTATTTGCTAGCAGAAATTACTGAAATCAGCCAAAAATTCGTAACAGATATGTGAATACAACTGCTTTTTAGACTGAGACTGAACGGTGACGGTGACGGTTCGGTGCCATGACGGAACTGAGACGCGACTGATGTGTGCGGTTAGCCTTTTAACGAAACCCATATAAATCAAACTTTATACAGAGCTTACTAAAATTTAACAAATTTTCAGTAAAATTATTAGCTTTTTAATCTGATTTTATAGAATTCTGTTGAGTATGCAGTTTTGGAGCCTATTAAATTTAAGTATAATAAGTGCAAGTTTTTAGCGGCTGCAAAATCGCGTTGATTTTGAAAATTTTTTGCTTACGGCTTTTGCAACTTTTTTCATATAACAAATGCAATTTATAAAAACTGGTTTGGCGCAATTTCTTCCGTAAGAAACTCATTCTTGTATGGGAAAAAGTAGGTACAAAAACCGGCAGAAAATAAAATATTTAAAATCAACGCGGTTTTGCAACCGCTGAAAACTTTCCCTTTATTGCACTAAAATTTATTGGGCTACAAAACTGCATACTCAAAAAAATTCGAAACATAACAGATAAAAAGCTCAAACTTTTAATGAAAGTTTCTCAAATTTGTCTAAGCTCTGTATAAAGTTTGAAAGTCTGATTTATATGGTTTTAGTTAAAGCATGAACCTTATTTATATGAGAAATAACAAAAAAATAATAGTTTATAAATCTTGTAAATATTTAACAAAAATATCATGTACTCATTTCTGCTGCTCTCCACTGTACACTTTTTGAACGTTGCGATGTTGCGAATGAAAGCTGCTGGTTCTTCATGATTGGCTGAAATAGAAAGCTTTCTGATACAACTCTGCGCTGAACTGGTTTTCAAACGAGTTAAATGATTTAACTGGTTAAATTTCCCAACAAAAGTTGCATGTGATTAACTTGTTTACGAACACGTTTTGTTCATTTCACTAGTTCAAGCACTCCATTGGCATTTGAACTCACAACTCCGGCGTTCAACTGGGCTAAGCTGCCATGTAAATTGTTGTTGCTTGTCAACTTTTTCATTTAGTCAACCCAACTACAATCAGGGGCAACTACTTTGTCTATATTATATATTTTTAAAAACTAATTTTATTTATAAAAAATTTATTTTAAAGGGTATTTTGAAATAGGTCCAGCTCACGAAACCTTAACATTTTCCGACACATTTGGGCTAAAGTCTTATGGCCTTATTCATAAAAAATAAAGTAGATTTAACGAGCTCTATAAAGTGGCATTTTCATATAAATTTCCGTATTATAAAGCAGTTAAAGTCTTTTTTACTTTTTATGAATTTCGGTGTTAAAATATAATAAGTTTTATATTTCCGATGGAAAACCCATATCGATTTTTTTGTATGGACAGTATTTCACCCCAATGTGCATACATATGTACATATGTACATTGTGAACCAGAAAAAGTGTCACTAAATCAAAGTGTAGATAATAAAAATTAAAGAAACTAATACAACTTCTTGGTTTATTTTTTATTAGTTTAAGGAACATTACAAAGTTAGTGGAATCAGTTCGTTGATTCAAATCTCTCGCCTTTCTCCTTGATAGTTTGACACAATATGATTTGAAGGACCCATCCATCTTGGCACTAGGGGTCTAAATATCGATCAATTTAAAGCTCGTCGGATACAGATTTGGTAGGAAAAATATATGCCATGTGTTACGTGCCGCTTGAAAATCCTTCTTCAAGCCTTTGCGACAAGCAAATAAAGAGAAATGCGCAGGATTTGAATGTATCTCAAACCAATAAAAAAAAAAATCATGAAATGTTATTAGTTTCTTTAATTTTTACTACACTTTGTTTTAGTGACTCTTATTTTGGTTCACCCGGTACATATGAACCGTGGACGAGATTGATGTAAGTAAATTAAAAAAAAAAAAAAACTAAATTAGCTAGCTTTGAACTGTTTACAAAGAAAAATTGTTGATCTTGGCTGGCATCGTAAATTTGAATTACGTAGGATGCAAACATTCAATGGCACGACGATACCAGTTAAGCGTTAAACTTAAGTAAAGCAAGTAAAGAATTCGAGCCGATACATAAAATAGAACGCTCGTGGCAGCCGTCGTATTTGTGCCATTGCGGAATTTTTTTTTTTTTTTAAGTTTAACCATTAGGGGCAAAACCAAGAAAATCTAAATACGCCCATCAATGTCTTAAATTGGACACCTCCTTAACGATATTCTTAATTAATTAATAAGGTTTTATCTTAGTTTTATTTACATATATCTTCTGAAATACTTTGAGGTTCTAATCGACGAATTGAATTTGATAAAAAAGCTAGTTAGTATACTTGTTAATAAAATTTGTATATGAATTTTGCGACTAAAATATCAGGTACTAAACCCCATAATTTGGAAAATAATTTTATAAGCATTGACATCCAGTGGCTGTATAGTTTGTTTTGTATTATTTGTGTAGGTTCATGTCTCACATAAATTATTCCTTTTGTCCCATTGTATTTTGTTCTAAATATGTACATATTTACATGGATAAAAGCTATATTTGTCCTTTTTGTATAGATAACTATTTTACTTATCACAAGGGCTTACATTTTCTATCTATCTACATTTTCTCGAGGGGTACTACATAGCTGTTACGCACTTACCGCCTACAGATTTATAATCGGTTTTTTTGTGAATTTTCACAATTTCGGATGTTCTAATATACAATTCAGTAGAGCTCTATATTTTTTATTGTTTTGAATAGGTCTTTAGGAGAACTCAATACATGTAGACAACCAAAAATGGTATACTAACCATGATATATCACTTTTCTTTCTCCTATTTCATAAAATATCGATTCTCAGGAAGACGATGAAAATGAAGATTTAGTACAATTAGATGATGATGATGAAATACCAATGCCGCCAGAAACTAATGCAAACCAATCAAGTACTACTACGGTAAAAGAGTCTGACTTGTATGAGCCAGAAAACCCAACAGAGGAAAACGACGATGACGACGAAGAGTTAGAAGAAGAAGAAGAGGAAGAACAAGAACAAGAAGAAGAAAATGAACACGTAAGAAACGAGGATATGGATATAGATGAAAATAAAGATAAAAGTGATAAAGTTGAGAAATCGGATGAAAATGTTGAGATTGCCGAGGAAACTGTATCGCCGGACCATGGCAAGCCCGATGAGGCGAAAGATAATGGCAACTCACAATACGATCCAGAACATGAAATATTATCCAATGACGGTTCGAATATGGAGCCGGAAAAGATAGAAGAAAATTTGAATGAAAGTAGTAAGAGTAATAATGAATCTATCGAAAAAGAGAGAGAGAAAAGCGAAGACCGGAGCGTGCACACTCCAAGTCCAGCTGCGTCCGAGACTAAGTTGCCTGAAAACGATTTAGGTACTGCAAGTAAGAAGGGTGTATTAGAATTGTATGACGACAGTGATTGGGAAGAACTTGAAATCGATAAGCCAAAAGAGTATGAGAAAGCGGCACAAGCTGCAGAGAAATCAGAGCTCGAAGAAGGTCAACTAGAAGATGAACCCGAAAAAGAAAAGGAACGTAAAAAAAAGGGTAAGGATAAGGATAAGGATAAGGGGAAAGGAGATGAAAAGAACGAGAGCGAACAAGACCGCTCTTATACACCATGCCTCGATGAGAATAATGAGCCAGAAGAAGGCACTGAAACTGGACACGTCGATCAGACAGGCCCAAAGTCGTTGAACACCTCGAAGGATGCTAATGCAGAACAGGAGGAGGATGGCGATGGTGGCAAGACACCTGACCTTATTGTGCAAGAACCAGCTGTCATAGAGACGGAACTGATTTCGGACGATGATGATAATAATGCCCGTGTCGCTAAGAAGCGCAAAAGTAGTAAAAAACGTGAAAAGCGTGACAAAAAGATTGAAACGTTCAAGAAAGTGAGCAACAAACAAAAGGTACGCAATTACCGCACCGATAAGCAACTAGAAAATAAACAGAAAGGTAGACGTCGCATTTCCAAATCTCGTTCCAAATCTAAATCACGATCACGTTCCAAATCCAGATCAAAATCTCGTTCCCGAACACCAACACGCAGTCGCAGCCCTATACGCAGTCGCAGTCGCAGTCGCTCGCGTTCACTACGGCCCCTAGCAAGCCGCTCCCGTTCACCATCGTATCCACCAAAATCGCGTTCTAGAACGCCACGTGGTCGCGGCCGTAGGCGTTCACGCTCCCGTTCATTGCGTTCACGCAGTCGATCTAACAATAAAGAGAACCACTGGCGCCCGGGTAATCGTTTCCATAATAATATGAACCAACACAATAGATTCTATGATAGAAATAATCGTTTCAATCAAAACAATTTTCGCACCAAACGCCGTGAAATGCCACGCTATAATGTGCGTAACGTTGTCGGTATGCAACGAAACTTCAGAGATGGCGAAAGAAGAGAGATCAGAGATCGCTATGGACGCGATGCCACCCGGCAAGTACGTAATTTTAGTAGATCGCCAAGTCCTCGTGATCGCAGAATGGGAATAAGGTCGTCGTTCTCTAGATCGCATTCTCGCGGTCGTTCAATGTCACCAAGACGAAATCGACGCGGCAGTTTCAGCATATCACCAAGTCCACAACACATGATGCACCGACATTCGCTTTCACCAAGACAACGCTACCATTCTCCACGTCGACACTCTCTCTCACCACGTCGCCTCACTCCAATGCGCGCACATTCACGCACACCCTTGCGTATGCGCTCACGCTCACTTACGCCGCAGCGCATGGGTGGCAGAAAAGTCATGAGGCGCGTGCGTGGCGGTTCACCGTTGCCACAGCCAGTTGTTTCGCGTTCCCCTTCCCGGATGCGTTCGATGTCTGCCTCGCCTAGGTATACGCCGCGCTTGCACAGAAGCCGCTCAAAGACACCGATTATTCGTGTAGCCAAGGGCAAAAAGAAGAAATTAAAAGAAAAAGCCAAGAAAAAGAAGAAGAAGCGCTTGGCAAACCTTAGTCCGGAGGCCAACATTCGCATATCACGACAGCGCGATGCTTTCGAAGTTGATCGCCCGCCCAAGAAAAAGCGCCGCCATTCTCCAAAGCAGAAGGCACCAATTGAAGAGCCAACTTGGTCGCCATCACCTAGCCCGCCGCCAGTGCTCGACTATGAACGTGAAAACAATAATATATCATGGACGCCGCCGATATTATCACCGCGTCTCGTACACGAAATGCATGGCATCTATCAGCCAGAACCCCGCCGCAGCACCTCACGAGGTAGTAAACGTGACAAACGAAAGCGTATTAAAAAGAAAAAGAAGGGCGAAAAACGTCGCGAAGTGCGCAAAGAAAAGCGTCGCATACGGCGCACTCAAACACCTGATCCCATACCGTCGAAGGAGGTCTTTGCTTCGGGCAACAATATACTCGTTAGCGTAAGTTTCAACAAAGACGCAGCTGGAAATCCACAGCCTTCGCAAACAACAGTTGTTACAGTGCCGGCAACGCGTGAAGATTTGCACAATAATCGGCGCAATTCAATTGATGTTATGGCCTTGAGTGCTGCGAACAAAAAGAAGAAGAAGCGCAAGAAGCTCGACGCAAAGCCGGTGGCGATAATCGATCTGGAACGATCGCCATTCCAGGTACATCAGGAGCCGGCCGACATTATTGTCCTCACGGATAGCGAAGAGGGTGTCGGCGGACATGACAGTGAGCATGATCACGACCACGAGCACCACGAGCATCACGAACAAGAACATGAGCGTCGACGCGAAAGCCACCGCGAACGCCGCCGCAGCGCATCTATAGCTGAAGAAATGGATCATCATCGTTCGCAAATGAGCAATGGCGTACGCTCCTCTTCGCAGCTGGACAAAACGCCACCCTTAGAACGAGAACGCCTCGAGACCATACTCGAAGAAGAGTCGTATGATTTGCCACAGACTGGACCTAAGACGCCACCTGAACCACCTACTGTCAAATTCACAATGCTCGCTAAAAAGCAAAGTAAAGTACGCAGTAATCCACTGCATGACGAGGCCGAACTAAATTCGGAATCCGAAATGGCCGAGGTACATGAACCGGATACTNGAAGACGCCACCTGAACCACCTACTGTCAAATTTACAATGCTCGCTAAAAAGCAAAGTAAAGTACGCAGTAATCCACTGCATGACGAGACCGAACTAAATTCGGAATCCGAAATGGCCGAGGTACATGAACCGGATACTCATCGATCAGAACTCGAGCCCATGCATGTGCAAAGCAACCAGAAGATTGGCCCCAATACGCCTCCCGAATCGGGTCCATGCTCGCCAGACGCTTACGATCCCTTCGACCCTACAAAATCACCATCTTTGTCACCGCGCTCCCCATCTCCTGCCCCGATGAACAATTCACAAGGCTCAATTGGCACTGATGGTGATGTTGAGATAGTACCCACTCAAAAACACATTGTGGACGAACAGCGCCTAACCAGCGAGCGCAACGTCGCGACTACACAAATTACCGGCACCGGCAGCAGCATGACTGCCCAAGGTCCCACACTCAATCCAGTTGAGCTAGTAATGAAGCTAATGAATACAAAACAGAATAGTTCACAGGACTTGAACAAAGCGAATGAGCCACAATACAGCACTGCGACACATATGCACTCTAATATATTGGGCAATGCACACGACGACGGCTTGAGCATGCGCGACAAGGCCGACGATGCAATTGGCCTAGTATTATCGAATGTATTGTTATCGAACGGCAATGCACAAGCCTCACAACATATACCAGTAATTTCCAGTCCCACTCCTATAATGAAGAGTAATCAAATATCGAAATTGCCCCTGCCCAAAGTGGGTAGCAGCGTGGGAAGTAGTAGTGGCGCCGGCCTACCTTTGCCTAATGTTCGTAACGGTATCTTAGATGATGCGTTGAATTTAACAGAAAGTCCTTATTCGCCGGGTTCTGCCGATTACGAGGATCTCTTTGAACCACCACCAGAAAGTTCAGGTGCTGCGCGTCGGTCGAAACGTGGTGGCAAAATGGATGTATTTGATAATTTATTCGGTAGCACATCGCCAGTGGGCCATGTGCGTATGACCAAAAAATTCAAGGCAATTGTTACAAGTAGCTCGAAGAAATCGAAAATCAAAGGTGGGTTCTCCAACAAATTGAAGATTCCTTATGCCACGTCAAATACCTATGGTATGAGTGTGTGTGTGTGTGTGTGTGCTTAGCACTAGGGTTTATTTTCAATTTTCTTTTAAACATTTATTTAGTTCTGGTTTGCGTATGTGAAAAAAAAACAGTTTTTGGGAAGTTTATTCTTCTGTGATTGATGATACGTACATATACATATTTATGTAGGTATACTCAAAATTTCTTAGTGTCAGCACAACCAAGACGTGTACATCGTTGGTTCGGTAAGTGAATATCTATTTTTTATTATGTCGAATAACATTATGATAAAATTTTAAATAATAATTTACAAGATGCGTTTCCAAGGCATGTAATTGATTTGTGGAAAAGGAGTGAAATTCGGAATAAAATGAAATATGAATAATACATATTTGACATTTGTGCTAGATTAAGTTTAAATTAACAAGAAAAATAAAATAAAATTAATTACAATGTTATTAAAAAGTTGTTTCAGAAACAGGCCTATGTAGGCCTGCGACATTTAACTTCAATTTTCCCTTCCAATATTTGCGCTATTTTTTAATATAGACAGCTAGGTTGTTAAATCAAAAGACTGCTTTATTTTTTCTAGCACATCGTGATTTATTTTTTTAAATGAAATGCATATTTTCAGAATTTTTAACAATTTTCATGAAAAGCTAAAAATTAATGAAACTATAGTTAAATTTTTACTTAAAAAATAAACATTTAAAAATATTTCTAAAGAGACGTAAGTAAATCAAAAAGACTTATGGAAACTCGAAGTTAGCGCTATCAATACGTGGTAACATCAAGAACAATTAAAAACGAATTTTCTCGGAAAATTAACGTGATGGAATTTTTTCATTGTTTTTTTCATAGTTTAGTACCAGTGTTGGCACTAATCGATTAATTTTTTAATCAATTAGTTAATTCGATTAAATTCAATCCGATTACAGTTAATCATGATTTATTTTAATCTATTCTTTTAATCTATTAATTTATTCTGTAGATTTTGTTCATGCGTTATATGGACCTCGACAAAAAAAGAATTCTCAAATCAACAGTAATTTTTAGCGACTTGAAACTTGCACTTTATCTTACTTAAATTTGAGGGCTACAAAACTGCCTGCTTCCTAAAAAACCTAATTGATAAATTGAAAATTTCGATGAAAATTTCTTGTATCTCTTGAATATTCCCGAGTTCTGTATGAAATTAAAAAAAAAAAAAATTATACTGATGGTTTTAGCGACTTTTCTACTTATAATTTAGTATTTTGTGGGCTCGAGGTCAATTTTAAACATTTTTTTATGAAAACACAAGTTTTTTGGTGTTTGTTTCGGATATATTTCGGTTACGCTTCTTTAGCCGTCCTCAGGGCAGTTTGGTACTCAAAACTCCACATCAAACAGTGCGGACGTGTAAATTAATTTGCCCTGAGGACGATTACCGCAGCGTAACCGAAATATATCGGAAACAAATACCAAAAAACTTGTGTTTTCATCAAAAAATTTTTAAAATTGACTCGAGCCGGCAAAATACTAAATTAAAAAAACATTATTTTTGTGGTTTTTACTGTTGAATGAACTATATTTTTATAAAAAAAAAAAATAAAAATTTGGTATGGCACATATACATAAATAAAATTGTCAAAACGTCACGGCATGAATATTTTTACGCTGTGTATATGTGTATTAACGAAATCGAGTTAACTACATATATATATCCAAAAATAGTACCTCATTGGCTAAGAAGAGGGATCAGTCCCCCATAAAATCAACAAATTGGCTGCAAGTACAAGGTTACATTAATTAAGTTTTATTATTGGTAAAGCAACTGAAATTATTCTTGTGAAAAAAAAAAACATTAGCCTTACTTGAATAAGTTGTGATTAAAAAAATTTGCAGATTTGTCGTGTTGTTTAACAAAAAGTCGGATAAAAAGCAAACTACCTTACTACTTACCTTTTTCACCAATTATCTTCAAAATTTTTATTGAAGAAGAAATGTGTAATCAAATAAAGCGGGATGTTTGTATGTATGTACATTCGACAGACATTTAAAAAATTCTGCTGTGCAAATATTCTTTATTAGTTAGACAATTTTGTACAAAGAATTATACTAAGTTATTTTTTCGTGATATTTTGCCCATTAAGGAATAATATGAAATTATATAAATTTACGACTTGACATTTCTTAAAATAATATTTTTTTTTTATCGAAAGAAACCGGTAAGAACTGTGAACAAAAACTCAATACATATAATCAAATCAAATTAGGCAAATGGCTAATAGATAAAAATTAAAGATATTTCATGAATTGTTCCGTTTCTCCGGATTGTTCCACCTCTTTTCCACATCAATAACATCTTACAAGTTTATTGTATTAAAACCACACACATGTGAATAGTTTTACATATAAGTTCATAATTTTAACTAGAATTGAAAATTAGCTGAGCTTGGTTAATTAAGAGATTACGTCTGATAGACTAATTTGCTTTTAAAAANGTACAAGTTTATTGTATTAAAAACACACACAAATGAATAGTTTTACATATAAGTTCATAATTTTAACTAGAATTGAAAATTAGCTGATTTATATGCTTGGTTAATTAAGAGATTACGTCTGATAGACTAATTTGCTTTTAAAAACGCATCAAGTAATTGCTAAAAAATTATGTTTCGTAAAGGAATTTGCATTAGGTTCATTCCACGGTAATCCGAACCAGATGGAAGAAGAAACAAATTTTATAAATTTAATTGTATTTCTTCTATTTAGTAAGAGCAAATAGGTTCAAATTACATTATTTATAAGCATTTATTTTCTAATTTTAGTAACGCCCAATATTTTCTTTTATACGAGTATTAACTTCATCCATTAAGAAAGCAATCCATCCGTCTCTTATTCTAGTTATGTATGTATGGTATTTCAAGCTTCTCGGTAAGGTACGAGGGCAATTTGAAAAGTCAATNAAATAAATAAATTTAATTGTATTTCTTCTATTTAGTAAGAGCAAATAGGTTCAAATTACATTATTTATAAGCATTTATTTTCTAATTTTAGTAACGCCCAATATTTTCTTTTATACNTTTATAAATTTAATTGTATTTCTTCTATTTAGTAAGAGCAAATAGGTTCAAATTACATTATTTATAAGCATTTATTTTCTAATTTTAGTAACGCCCAATATTTTCTTTTATACGAGTATTAACTTCATCCATTAAGAAAGCAATCCATCCGTCTCTTATTCTAGTTATGTATGTATGGTATTTCAAGCTTCTCGGTAAGGTACGAGGGCAATTTGAAAAGTCAATAANAATAGGTTCAAATTACATTATTTATAAGCATTTATTTTCTAATTTTAGTAACGCCCAATATTTTCTTTTATACGAGTATTAACTTCATCCATTAAGAAAGCAATCCATCCGTCTCTTATTCTAGTTATGTATGTATGGTATTTCAAGCTTCTCGGTAAGGTACGAGGGCAATTTGAAAAGTCAATAACCTTGTGAATCTCACGCTCAGTAACTTTATATACAATACTGCTCCTCCTGTCGACTGCCATCGATAAATAGACCACTTGTAAAATTTTGAACAAGCTGTCGCTTTAAGTTTGGGTTTTACAGCCATTGAAAGCAAACAAGCTCGTCGGTTTTAACGAAAATGGAAAAAAGTGAAAATCGTTTACTATTTTTTGCGTAAAAATGTATAAATACAATGGGGATTCCGCACCATAAATTTCAAAGGTTAAAAAGTGGTTTACACACTAAGTTCCGTTGTGGTAGTACCAGCACAAGTCACTCTGAAAGTGCAAGTCCGCCCCAAAGAGATCGAATAAAAGTGTGCGAGGTGGCTGTGGCTGTAAGCAATTCAACTGAGCATATGAAAAGCCTATCCGCGCGATGGGTGCCGAGCTTGCTCACACTCGTCCATAAAGGCAACCGTGTGACCACTTCAAAGGAGTGTTAGTGTTCAGCGATGTTCATTCAGCCGTACAGAGACCCAGAACCAATCAAAAAGAGCACCAAAGTGGGTCTGTCTGCGAAAAAGGCCCTGGACACAGTTTTTTGGGATGCACTCGGTGTTATTCATATCGATTACCTTGAAAAGGGCAAAATGCTCACTGGTGAATGTGATTTGAAGAAAAATCTGCCACATTTGATCAAGTAAAAAGTGTTGTTCCATCCACGGTTACACTCGTAAAGAATTTGATCGAATGAAGAGCTCATCACTAAAGCAAACGCTTATTTTGAGGACCTTGAAAACCCTATTATTTGGAAACAATTGAAAAAAATTGAAAAAACGCTGAACTAAATGTATCGAGCTAGAAGGAGACTATGTTGAGAAATAAAACGCTTTTTTGCCGAAAAATATACCGTGCCGGACAAAAGTATTGGCACAGAAAATTTTTTCGCAATATATGCAAAGTTATTTATTCAAATTTTTTTCGCTAATTTTTTATGAAAATATAGTTCATACTACAACAAAAAACTTAAAAATAAAATCTCTATACTTTGTGAAAATTCAATAACTTTGCATACTAATTTTCAATTTTCTAATCATATTTTTTTTTAAAATTCTAAATATGCAATTTTATAGCCCATTCAATTGTAGTATAACAAA